GGGGAGTGTGCCCGGGGGTTTGCTGAAGCAGTCTCTGGTCGTTTTACAGTGCTCGAAAATCTGACGGACCCTGTACTTCTGTAGGATACCAAGCGCAAAAATGCTTGATGCAGCTCAAGTAACGATTAGTGAACGCCCGAGAGCAAGAGACTCTCGCAGGAGACTCTGGATGCCACAGAAGCTTGTCATGCGGCTCGTCTGACAGGGGATCGGGATTTGCACCATTCTCAGGTGCGCAGAACTTGGTCACTGTTAAGAAGGGACAAGGAACAGTTTATTAGGAATCTTGCAGAGGAGGTAGACGGCCATTTCTTAGTAAATGACCTTCGTCCTGCATACCAAGCCCTGAGAAAGCTGAACTCCAAGCCCTCTTTCTCACGTTGGGCTGAGTATTTTGAGCAGCTGTACTAGGTTGACCCACCAACAGTTAACGTGGATGCAGGTAGTGCCATGATTCAGTTGCCGGACCCACCCATAAGTGAGGACCCACCCTCACTGCTTTGCTGAAGAGTGCAAAGCAGCGGGTATTTGCGGCACCCCAGCTGAACTGTTAAAGGCTGGTGGGGAACCGATGGCACGTGGGTTGCATGCTGTCCTGGCTGCCATCTGGCGGTCCGGTACCATTCCCCCTGACCTGTTGGGGGGTGTGGTCATCCCTCTCTGGAAGGGGAAGGGGGACCGATGGGACTGCAGCAATCACCCAGGCATCACACTCAATATACCAGGCAAGGTTCTTGCCCACATCCTTCTGAGACGTATCAGAGACCACCTACTGAGGCATCAGAGGCCGGAACAACCTGGATTCACTCCTGGTAAGTCCACAATTGACCGTATCTGTGCGCTTCGAGTCATTGTAGAGCGCCGTCGAGAGTTCGGGCGTGGGCTTGCAGCCTACATCGACCTCAAGGCATTCAATACAGTGCATCGGGAATCTGGGGAGATCCTGAGAGGAGAATTCCAACAAGGATTATTGGTCTGATAGCAAGCCTGTATACTGGTACTGAAAGTGCTGTAAAGTGTGGTGGGGGCCTGTCGAGCTTCTTTCCTGTTAGTTCAGGAGTAAGGCAAGGCTGCGTTCTTTTCAACACTTGCATGGACTGGATACTGGGCAGAGCTACAGTTCAAAGTCATTGTGGAGCAACTCTGGGCAATATCAAGGTTACCGACCTTGACTTTGCTGATGTTGCTATTCTATGTCCTTGGAATCCTTAGTAGTGGCTTTCGATGCATTTAGTAATGAAGTGAAGCCCTTGGGGTTAGAGGTCTCCTGGACCAAGTCCAAGATCCAGGACTTTGGGGACTTGCTTGGAGAACCTGTTCGGTTGGTACTTGCTTGCAACGAGAACATTGAAGTCACAGAGAGCTTTACATGCCTTGGTAGTGTAGTTCATAACTCTGGGCTGTCAGACTAGGAACTCAGCAGACGGATTGACCTGGTAGCAGGGGTCATGAACTCTCTCGACAAGAGTATTTGGAGATGCCGGTACCTGTGCAGAAGGACCAAGCTACGTGTCATCGTAACCGTCCTCATCTGGAAGGTATTCCGTTTGTATATGATACTTGCGTAAAGCCTCAAATTCAGGCGAAAATGCAAAAAATGACGCGCAGCCTTCACGCCAGCTGTCTGGCTGGGCCGCGGACACCAACCAGCACTGACCAGTCTTACTTGTATCATGTTCTATTTTACTAGCGTGTAAACTCATGAATAAAGAGTTAAGCCGTAAAAGTATATTACTCTGCCCACCAGTACCAATATAGGAAGATAATACGTATTAAATCTGGTAGCAGCGTGGTAGTTTTGAAAACACGAAAGCACCTCCGAAATCCGCTTGCCAACGCTCACCTCGAAACGACGAATAGGATTTCTTCAAAACCACATAAGTACACGTAACTGGCTAATCTTTCCTCTTCCCTTCCTTCTTCCATGAAGGTGTTAAGCCATACAAATGTGCAGTCACTCTTACGTTGGTTTTGCTGTTTTAAGTGTATTATGTGGTAATTCCTATGGAATGATTTTAATAGCAGGAAGTGGCAACACTCACTCTGTCACTCATCCCTGACCAGGGGTCATAATCCTGCAAAGATGTGGGGATATGGCTTCTAGTACAAACATGAATATCGTTCATTAGTTAATTAATTTTCTCGGTTTTGGATATCTATAGTTTCAACTGCAACGAATTTCAATGCATTCATGATTTCTTGCAAACTGAGAATTTTCTCCTTATGATTCATTATAACCGCGAATTCTATGTACTCCATGCTCTTCTTGTACGAATTTCTTTGACTGATTGTTGAAATTCACTCTTTTTTTTCTTTTTTTTTTTACTCTTTCGGTTCATTTTATTCTTTCTGAATTATCTGTATTCACGAACGATACATACCATATTATTTCTTCCTATTAGACAGTTGCCTCCACTCCCTGACCGACCTCACCTCACGTTCCCTTAGCCGATCAGTCTGGGGTTGGAAATAGCTGTCCTGTATGTTTGTGCCGTCCATT